CCCCCCCCATGAAAGACAAGCTACACTCCTAGGTACCTGGATGGACTGAAAGCTGAAGTCCCAGCAACTTCCTAATAAGTTACCTACCAAGTAAGGGCAGCTGCCCATTAGTAGTGGCTGTCCCCAGTAAAGCAAAGCTGAGTCACTTCCTAGTTAATACCTCAAAAGCTTTTTTTTTTTTTTTTGCAGCCTTGTCATTCAATCGCTGTCATGTTCAGCCCATGTGTAAAGAAATCTCTTTCATTGGCTCAGGGTGCTAAGTCTGGTCTCAGGAGGGAGCGGGCTTCCAGCTAACATGTGCACCTGCTGATTTTATTTTACCTTTACACGCAGGCCGGAGGGCTGTTACACAGCTGTGCTGAGTGCATCACACATTCAGGGCCCTTCAAAGACCTGGCTTGATTGGAAGGACAAAAATTAAAAGCAATCTGATCCAGGCCCATGCCGGATCCCTGTGGATTTTCTCCTTATCCCATTTCCATCCACTGTCACAATTTGAGAGTCTGCCTGATTTGATCGGATTCACCTCCGGGGGAGGCGTTCACGCCAAGGTTAGGAGGACGAAAAGTTACAGGGCAACTCTTTGATCTGCCCATCAGCAGTCTGAGAAACGCTGGCTCTGAATTTTCCACAGCGGCCTTCTGGATAAAACAAGTTCTTCGCTGTTTGCAAACCTGCAGCGCCTGAGCCTCTGGGACACCCTGGCCGCTGCCGCCTGGTAGATGTGGCTTTCCCATGCTGAGGCCGAGAGTCCTGCCTGAGCCCGCGGCTGCCTCCCCAGGGCGTCTCTGGGCCGTACCCCTGCGGCCTGCACAGCCATGCTGCGCCTGCTGCTGCTCCTCCTGCACCGCCTCATGCTGGCCTCTTCGGACTACGACACCTGCAAATCCTGGGTGACCACGGATGAGGGCCCCACTTGGGAGTTCTACGCCTGCCAGCCCAAGGCGATGCGTCTGAAGGACTATGTCAAGGTGACAGTGGAGCCCAAGGGCATCACGTGTGGGGACCCCCCAGAGAGGTTCTGCTCCCACGTAAGTCGGCCCCACCCCCACCCTACTGCCAGACCCTGGGGAGGGGCTTGGGAGGACCTGTGGACTGGGTGAGAGTGGAGGACCAGGTGCAGGCTTTGTCCCACCTTGGAAATGAGCACCCAGGGCCCCTGAGGTCTTGTGACGTTCTCCAGGTTGGGGGCTGTCTCCACCAGGAGAACTCAGGAAGAGCAGGGCGGTGTTCACTGGCAAGCCCCGCCTCCCTCATGACGTCAGCAGTCCAGGCCAATGAGGAGAGACTATTTACACTGACGTTGCACTTTGGCTTGACTTGGTTTACCTGTCCTTGGTGCATCCTCCTAGCCTCCCCCCAGCCCCCGGCAGTCTAGCAGAAAGCACTGTGAGGCAAGGGTGTGCCAAACGCCACGCTGGGACCCTGCAGAGGAAAGTTCAGGTCCGGGGCACCTGCATGGGGCTCCTGAAGCAGGAAGGCACAGTCAGCCGCGCGGACAGCGCACCCAGCGGCCTTTCCTGACTGCAGTCACAGCGACTCTGGAGAGGGTATATGTTCAGGCATCGTCACTTAGGTCCGTAGTTAGAGATTAGGGGACCTAGTCACGGATACTCCAGTACTCACTGTTGTGGTTAGCAAAGGCAGCGATAAGAGCGGAAGTCATTTAATGTGCAGTCCTGGAACTCGGGCATCGAGAGCTTGGATCGTGTCACTCTCCCAGGCCTCCCTCCTGCCCTGCTGGGCTGATCTGTGTTGTAGAAAGTAGGCATGTGGGGGGAGGGTCTGTTGCGTCACCTATGAAATGGGCACCTGAACAGAACATTAACAATCTCCGCAGTCTCAGGTGGTTTTAAGGAGTCTGTGGTCCCAATGGAGAGTGTTCGAAATAAGGTCAGGTACAGAGCAAGTGCCCTGGTCTACCTCAGTTTACACTTTCTGTAGTGCATCCTCCAAGCCCCCCGGCAGAATCTAGCAGCTGCTGTCATTAGCCATACATGTGGGGAAACTGAGGCAGCAGAGGTGGAGGCCTTCAGCCAAGGCCGCATGCCGAGAGATTCTGGCCACTATGTCAGGCAGCTAAACCACTTTCCAAGGCCCCAAACTGCACTGAGCTCTGCAGTCCCCACACTGGCAGGGGCTGGGCCAGTCCCCCTCCCCGACCGGCTGTGGCTGCTAGAGGACATGGTAAGGGTTCAGTGTCACCCTCCAGGTGGCTGCTGCTCCAGGTTCCCAGCAGGTGTCCCAGTGCCCCCACCCTGGGCTTCTGAGGCTGTCTCTGCCACCCTGGGAAGGTTGGGTTCCCGCCTGGGCTTGTCTGTGGTGACAAGGCTGTCCCTGTGGGTCACAGCTGGGCCAGAGCCAGCACGGGTGGGGAGGCAGCACAGGGCTGGGAGCCAGGGTGGAGAGTCTGTGGGCAGCAGTGCCCTACACACTGCAGGGCCACCCTGGCTTGGAGGCAGGCGAGGGGGCTGGTTCCTGGCCGTAGGGTGCAGCCAGAGGGAAGCCCAGGTCTGAGTCTTTCAGGGAGAGGCGACCTCTGTTTCTTGTGTAGTCTCAACAGTTTTTTCTCTTAAATATTAATCAGTCCCTTCCTGTGGGGGGCGGGGCACAGTTACACTGTGGTCTATAAGCCCAGCTTGCAAACAGAGCCGGAGGGGTGGGGAGGGGTATCAGATGCCAGCCCGAGACCCTGTCCTGGCCGAGGCCGTGCCGAATGTCCTTGGCCCCAGCCCGCTGCCCCCTCTGCACCTCAGATGGAGCCTACAGAGCTCAGTCACTGCACCCCGACACTCCCGGTCTCCCAGGAGACGGGTGAGGCGGGCAGGGGGAAGCTCAGTGTCCCCAAGACCCTGGCGTGGCTGCGTCTTGGCATCACGCCACTTGTTTGATGGATGTAAATATTTCATGACAGGCTGCCATCCGCTCTGCCTCTGATTACAAATGTGTGGACAGGGAGGACACGGGGAGGCTGTGGGGTCTGGATTTGAACCCCAGTATTGCTGCTTAGTGTGGCTCCTCCCGTGTAACCACACCTCAGGCACCCTGGGGGGAACCCCACTTTAATCCCTTTACAAGCACTAGAAGGAGTTGCCTGAGCCGTGCCAAGGTCACCCATGTGCTTGAGGCCAGCCGGGAGGCACACGCGACCACCAGTCCCTCTCCAAGCCCCAGTCTCTTCCTTTCTCAACAGTGGCAACACCGTAGCAAGTCACAGTACTGGCAGGAGGAGGCAGCTGGGCCATGCATGTCTGGGTACATGCCAGCACATAGTGGGCGCTCAGTGGGCGCATGCCGGCACATAGTGGGCGCTCCGTGGGCGCATGCCGGCACATAGTGGGCGCTCCGTGGGCGCATGCCGGCACATAGTGGG